ACTTTGATTATTTAACCAAATACCTGCTGATTTCCCTATTTCTGTTTACTGTATTTAATTGAATCAATTTTCAGTCTAATCAATATATGTAATGTCAATACTGCCATTGAAAGACAAGAAAATTTGCATAAAACAACAGTTAGAAATCAAGGAAAGGTGATTTCAATTTCAATTGATGTTCAAACACAAACATGTTAGGAAACAATTAGTTAAATCAAAAACAATTTACACTTAAATGCACTATATAGACTACAATATATGAAACTAAAATATATTCTGCAATATGTAGTGAATTATTTGAAAACACAGTGGCTTTAACCTCCATAGAAATATAATATGACATCAAATATCACTTATGTTGCACACAAAAATATTTATAATAAATGTCAAAGGTAGAAAAACTGTAACAGTTCACATATAAATGTGACAATGTGAAAGTTTTATAATAAATTATCTCTTAAAGTCATTATGTAATATATAAAGATCATATAACAAATTTATTAATTAAAGATTTCATTATTTATGTTAGTGTTTTTACATCTAATTGAAAGACTGACATGACATCTGATTTTCAAATTTGAAAGGTGAAACAGATATTTGCAGTTGAACATCATCAATTAGGGGAAAAAAAAACAACCAATGTTTAAAATAGTCCAAAAAACAAAATAGTAACTGGAAATGAAATTAGAAATGAGAGTTTTACGTGTTACTTTTCTGCACCAAAAGTAGTAACAGGAGTCAACTACAACTACTTTAAGTTAGTCAGAAAAACAAAGTAGTCACTTGAGTCAACTGCAACTACTATAAGTTAGTCAGAAAAACAAAGTAGTCACTGGAGTCAACTACAACTACTTTAAGTTAGTCAGAAAAACAAAGTAGTCACTGGAGTCAACTGCAACTACTATAAGTTAGTCAGAAAAACAAAGTAGTCACTGGAGTCAACTACAACTACTTTAAGTTAGTCAGAAAAACAAAGTAGTCACTGGAGTCAACTGCAACTACTTTAAGTTAGTCAGAAAAACAAAGTAGTCACTGGAGTCAACTGCAACTACTTTAAGTTAGTCAGAAAAACAAAGTAGTCACTGGAGTCAACTGCAACTACTATAAGTTAGTCAGAAAAACAAAGTAGTCACTGGAGTCAACTGCAACTACTATAAGTTAGTCAGAAAAACAAAGTAGTCACTGGAGTCAACTGCAACTACTTTAAGTTAGTCAGAAAAACAAAGTAGTCACTGGAGTCAACTGCAACTACTATAAGTTAGTCAGAAAAACAAAGTAGTCACTGCAGTCAACTGCAACTACTTTAAGTTAGTCAGAGAAACAAAGTAGTCACTGGAGTCAACTGTAACTACTATAAGTTAGTCAGAAAAACAAAGTAGTCACTGCAGTCAACTGCAACTACTTTAAGGTAATCGGAAAAACAAAGTAGTCACTGGAGTCAGCTTCAACTACTTTAAGGTAATCAGAAAAACAAAGAAATAACTGGAGTCAACCACAAATACTTAAAGGTAATCAGAAAAACAAAGTAATAACTGGATTCAACAACAAATACTTTAAGGTTGTCAGAAAAACAAAGAAGTAACTGGAGTCAACTACATCTACTTTAAGGTAATCGGAAAAACAAAGTAGTCACTGGAGTCAGCTTCAACTACTTTAAGGTAATCAGAAAAACAAAGTAAGAACTGGATTCAACAACAAATTAAGGTAATCAGAAAAACAAAGAAATAACTGGAGTCAACTACAACTACTTCAAGGTAATCAGAAAAACAAAGTAGTAACTGGAGTCAACTACAACTACTTCAAGGTAGTCAGAAAAACAAAGTAGTAACTGGAGTCAACTACAACTAACATTTCGAATCACAAAAACAAAGTGGTAGTTTTGAGTCAACAATCTTGCATTTCTTAAGTTACCAAAGACCCCAAAGTAGTAAGTGGATTTTGGGAAGGAAGGTTTTGATTCTCCCAAATATATAGACCTAGAATTGAATGAATACTTCATTAAGAAGTTGATCTGGAACTGCTGCTTATTTGTTTGAGTCTGAAAAGCATAATAAAAACCAAATTGCAACCATTAGCGATCCTATGGTGACTAAAAAATGCACTTGATCACTGAAAAACATGAAAAAGCGAAAAAATGTCCCCAAAATTACAAACGTTTCTTATAAAACTAGCGATTAGCTTTTAGCGACCTTAACATGCTCTGAACTAATTATTTTCTGATGCTGTAGTAGCACAGTAAGGATATCTTCCCGTGTGACGAGGTTATAACTGGAATCAACAACAACTACCATATCATAGACCAGAAAGGAGTAACTGGAGTCTATAACTTTGTATTCCACTCATTGCTAATTACTGTTTTGTCATGTACATCTCAAGCCAGATTATACACAACATATCAAATCTCTTTGCTCATGAAGAAAAATAATACATTTCCTGTTAGGAAAATTACTTCTAAAGAAAAAAAAAAACAGAACACATTTACAAAGAAAATGTTATATTTTGAATACCTGGTTTAGATTTTTTTTGTAAGGAGGATTACTTGTACCATTTTATAGCTGGCTCAACTAATTAAGAAAAGTGTTAACTTATTCAAGGTCAGCTTAATTTCAGAAACCAATCAAAATTAGCAATTAGGCTAATGATGGTAAATTCAATTAAAATTACTCATTCAATTGAAAAGAAAACTATTTTAATTATAATTATATAATTATGCTGGAAATAGAACTTAACTTGTTCTGGATGTGTTTCTAAATGTGCTGAGCTCAATTGTAAAGGTTTGGTCGACATAATTAACAAGCAAATCATTTGGTGATGATCATCATCAGATCATTGCTGACATTCCAATATTCCAAATACATGTACATACTTAAAGGGCCAATCATATTTTAGTCTCAGAAACTGGAATTATTTAGCTGAGTTAATCAGTAATATTGTTCACAGCTGACCCTCAAAATTTGAGCCAAGAATGTGTCTGAATGTTAAAATGTTAACTCGTAATTTTAAGATAGTCTGTGATATAAAGAAAAGACATATATAGAAATAGTGAGTAAAATTTCTAGTTTGAATTATTTTTATAGAAATTATGTAATTTTCATACATTTCTAGTACTTCTGAAGACTATTTATATATATTCAAGACTAAAATCAACTCCTCATAATGGCACACTTGTCCCTTTAAAATAATCACAAAAATCTTAGTTTACACCTTAGAATGTCAGGGGTGAGCAGGACATACAATGTTGGGGCAAATTCAGAAATAGTGGCAATAACGCACAATTTGTGCATCATTAGATACATATTACAGCAAAATCAATGAAATCCTTGCAGATCTATCCGATTGATAATCATCTTTTGTGTGAGAATGTTAAATTTGGTATTGTTCTTGCTCAAATCATGCTTATTTTTTGATGTTTCTTATGAATAATACAGTACTCTTGAGTGTGAAGATAGTGTGAAGACATAGAACAGTTGGTAAATCTGATAAACTGAAACCAGATTGGAAAAGCTCAAAATTAGATTTCTTGTTTCCGAACCATATTTTGGTATTAATAAATACTAGCTTAAAGAGACATTCCATTTTAAAAACCATTCATTTAAATTACACTAGAAAAATTTCTACAGTATGCTATTTATATCTATGTATCTACTTGATCAAACTGAATTTAATTTTATTTAAATCCGTTCAGTAGCTTTCTGACAGCTTCCAAAAAGGCTAAAGACCTTAAAAACTGTACCTCAATCTTCTATTCAAACAATATCAAATATATATATAGAATAATGAAAATATGATCATTAATCTTAATAAGAATCATCTGGAATACTGTGTTAAATAAATCTTGATATAAAACTAAGTTCAATCAATCAAATTTATCTGAAAAGCTGAAAATAAGAGAAAAAAGTGGTTTAACTGATAATATCTATATGTAAGGTTTTATCAAGTTTCCTAATATAGCACCACCTGCATACTGACAGTTGATTAAGCTATCTACTACATTTTATCTCAACCAATTTTCTCTAATATAATACTATTTCATCAAATCTTTTAATCCTTTCAAAATAACCAGCCACATAATTACATAATTTACAAAGGATTAGTCCATGAGGGAGCAAATTGTGTTCCATATTCTGTACTTAAAGGGGCAGTCTGTTTTTAATTCTAGTGTGAAAATTAGAGACCAAAATCTAGAGAAATGTGTCCCTGAACCTATCTGAAAATTTTAACTTAACATATCTTTTAGAATGCCAAAACTAGTTAGAAGGTTTACATAAACTTGCAATCTCTCTGTTGTTGGCTGACCAATCATTCTTTAGTCTCAGAAAAGGGATTTTTTTTGGCAAAGCTAAAATCTGAGCCTTTATATCCTTTATATGACAACTCATCATTTTTTGAGACTACACCATGTATAGAAAAAGACATACAAATATATAGAAATAGACAGTGAAATTTCTAATTTGAGGTATATTTGAAGGGATTAATTGATTTTTGTACATTTCTAATACTTCTGAAGACCATTCACATATATGCAATTCCCTTATCAACCACTGTAAATGCCAACCGTTTCCCTTAAAACTGATCTATTTTTCAAAAATTCTACTTTCAACTACTATTTACTTCCTTTCTCTGTCATGGAACAAAAGCTACATCTTATTAACTCTCTTGAGATCTGATTAAAATTCTTATTACTAGGATCTTCTCTTGATTGTGAAAAGAAAGAGATGGAGGAATACAACTGAGTAAACTTTATTGTTGAAGCCTGATCAAGCTGAAATTGACAATGGTGTGCTTGAGGTAGACTGCTCTAAGTATGGTATACTTTCTGTCCTACCACAACGTTTACAGAATCACATATCAACTCCAAAAATAGAACTAATAGTCTTAGAGTATGATGTATCTAAGGTTGACTGCTCTGAAATTGAGTATGATATATCTAAGGTTGACTGCTCTGAAATTGGGTATGATATATCTCAGGTTGACTGCTCTGAAATTGGGTATGATATATCTCAGGTAGACTGCTCTGAAATTGAGTATGATATATCTAAGGTTGACTGCTCTGAAATTGGGTATGATATATCACAGGTTGAATGCTCTGAAATTGAGTATGATATATCTAAGGCTGACTGCTCTGAAATTGAGTATGGTATACCTAAGGTTGACTGCTCTGAAATGGAGTATGGTATACCTAAGGTTGACTGCTCTGAAATTGAGTATGGTATACCTAAGGTTGACAGTTCCAAGATTAAATTGAGTATGATATACCTAAGGTTGACTGCTCTGAAATTGGGTATGCTATATCTAAGGCTGACTGCTCTGAAATTGGGTATGATATATCTCAGGTTGACTGCTCTGAAATTGGGTATGATATATCTCAGGTTAACTGCTTTGAAATTGGGTCTGATATATCTAAGGCTGACTGCTCTGAAATTGAGTATGATATATCTAAAGCCTGACTGCTCTGAAATTGAATATGGTATACCTAAGGTTGACTGCTCTGAAATTGAGTATGGTATACCTAAGGTTGACAGTTCCAAGATTAAATTGAGTATGATATACCTAAAGTTGACTGCTCTGAAATTGGGTATGCTATATCTAAGGCTGACTGCTCTGAAATTGGGTATGATATATCTCAGGTTGACTGCTCTGAAATTGGGTATGATATATCTCAGGTTGACTGCTTTGAAATTGGGTATGATATATCTCAGGTTGACTGCTCTGAAATTGGGTATGATATATCTCAGGTTGACTGCTCTGAAATTGGGTATGATATATCTCAGGTAGACTGCTCTGAAATTGAGTATGATATATCTAAGGTTGACTGCTCTGAAATTAAGTATGACTAGTTGCTGTTGAAATTGAGTATGATATATCTAAGGTTGACTGATCTGAAATTGAGTATGATATATCTAAGGTTGACTGCTCTGAAATTAAGTATGATATACCTAAGGTTGACTGTTCTGAAATTGAGTATGATATATCTAAGGTTGACTGATCTGAAATTGAGTATGATATATCTAAGGCTGACTTCTCTGAACGCGAGTATGGCATACCTAAGGTTAACTGCTCTGAAATTGAGTATGATATATCTAAGGTTGACTGCTCTGAAATTGAGTATGATATATCTAAGGCTGACTGCTCTGAAATTGAGTACAGTATGCCTAAGGCTGACTGCTCTGAAATTGAGTACAGTATGCCTAAGGTTGACTGCTCTGAAAGTGAGTATGGCATACCCAAGGTTGACTGATCAAAAATAGTTTGCTGATTGCTCTGAAATTGCATATGCTGATTGCTCTGATATTGCATATGCTGATTGCTCTGATATTGAGCATGTTGACTGCTCTGAATTAACCATTCCTGTCTTAGGTTTCAAAAACAGAATTTGTATTACATTTGAAAACAAACAAATAAAGATTTTAATTTGATCAAAGGATATAAATCAAGAGATATATCAGACTAATAACTTACCTTAGATTACTCAATACCTTTATAATATTCTTGATCTAATTATCAAATCCTAATTCAAGATTTAAACCTTGGCTTAACAAATCCTCTCACTAAATATCACAATGTTTCCTAACAAGCGTGCACAAGTCACACAAAAATCACGAGTTAATCAGAGTTAATTTACACACGATCAAAATATGGAAAACATGATCCACGAAATCAAAACCAAAATGGATAAGTCACAGAAAAAAAACCACAGAACTAAGGAATAGATCACAAATTTGGACAGCTGATCAGAGAGTTAAAAACAATGATTCAGTAAATCAAAACCAAAATGGATAAGTCACAGAAAAGATCACAGAACTTATGAGTAGATCACAAATTTAGACAGTTGGTAGAGAAATATTTTATGTAGGTTATAATAAAGATCAAAGTTTATATCAAAAATTTAAGACACAAAGGTATATTACTTAGATCTTGATATTGTAAACAGATCCTTAAGTTCCACAATAGGTCACAATATTCCACAATAGGTCACAATATTCCAAAATATACGGAATTAAACTAAATAAAACCAAATATTCCTGAAGAAATAAGTCTTATCAGTTGACTAGACTAGTATTCTGGCACTTACTAGCTTTCACAGAACTTACTATAGATATATACAGTATTTATGATTTATTCCTCAAATTGAATATCTTCGCTGATAATGACATATCTTTCTGTCAGAAATTAAGTGAAAACTGTTGTTTTTCCACCAAATGTCACTCAAAACGGCGGTATCTTATTTCAGAATATAGAAAATTCGAAAATCTAAGAAGAAAATTTAAGAATTCATCAAACTTCCATTCTTCTAAATTGACTAAACCAAGATAACCTTCCATACAGTAAAATCAACATAAGAAATTACCTTCTATACAGTATTGATAAAGATATGTTAATTATTTAGCAGTAGAAGGTATATGTTGATAGGAATCAGAAAGAACTCAAGTGTAAAAGCGTAAATCAATAGATCTAATAAAAACAATAACATATAGACAATACTACACTATCACTACCGATACCAACTAGAATAGCTCTCCTTTTAACAAATTAGTCTTGTCCGTCTGTCAATATAATGCTATCAGGAGTAAAGTGTGTACCCGTCACATCTGACTGGATTATACACTACATAGTCATAGAATATTAATCTGATAATATGTATCTGATGTCTACTTGTCTTGTAAATGTGTATTTAAGTCACTGTTGATATATGTATCTGATGTCTACTTGTCTTGTAAATGTGTATTTAAGTCACTGTTGATATATGTATCTGATGTCTAGTTGTCTTGTAAATGTGTATTTAAGTCACTGTTGATATATGTATCTGATGTCTAGTTGTCTTGTAAATGTGTATTTAAGTCACTGTTGATATATATATCTGATGTCTAGTTGTCGTGTAAATGTGTATTAAGTCACAGTTGATTCATGTATGTGGTGAATAATTGTCTTGTAAATGTGTATTTAAGTCACTGTTGATATATGTATCTGATGTCTAGTTGTCTTGTAAATGTGTATTAAGTCACTGTTGATACATGTATCTGATGTCTAAGAGTCCCTGTCGATAAATGTATCTGATGTTTAAGTTGATTCTGGAAGTATACAATAATAGCAATGAAAATGGCAAAATTACTGGTATACGAGAAAAGGTCAAGGTATAAGGAATGCACAGTAAAATGTAGTCTTTACATTACACCAGTTTAATGCGTCTATTTATGGGGCGGGTCAGAAATGGAACACTTCTCAGAGTTGTCAGCATCAATCATGCATGACAAGCCTAATCTCACAAGATTGAAGCGTTATTCCTTGAATACACTCAAGAAAGAAGATACAATTGTTATCAAAAAGAGTGATAAAAGTTCATGTGTCATTTTGAATTGGGGGGGGTGGCGGGGGGGGGATTACATTTCAAAGAAATAGAACAGTTTTATGTTAAACAAATGTTCTGTAATATATTTAAATTTTGATAATGATATGAAAGAATTTTCAAAACATTTTAGAGACTTACCTTGGTTGAAAGTTGAAGTCAATATTAAATTCGGCTAGTGATAGCAATCACAGTAGACATTTACAATCACTTCACACTCAGAAACAAGTTGAACAAATCCAACCAGGGTCAATTTCATTAATCAAGTTCAACCTGAATCTATTTCTGTTAATTGAGAAAGGATCCAATAAAGTGATGAATAAGTCTGTATTTAGTACACTAGACACAAGACAAACTCTTTTCTTGTATTACATCTTTTAATGTATGCCAGAAACTCACTGTCTGAATACCGATACACCATTGTTTTAGAGATTTAATGTATCTTAACTATTCTGAAGTAGATCTGTCCACAACTACATAAATCACACAGAGCAAATTTGGCTGTGTTACCACCATAAAGCCCTTTTACTTGGCAGAAATTATCCATTGTCAGAACAATTCCGAGAACGTACTGGATGAATTTTGTGTATTGTTATCAGTCAAGTGTTCTGACCGGTAACAGTCCTAAGAACGGACTTGATAAATAGGTGTAATGTAAACATAAACCGTGTGACTACTAAATTCAACTTCTTGAAAAAAAGTTCGACTTTTTTACATATTTAAGCAGATTTTTTGACAGCAAATAGAAACTTTTTTTTCTATTGGAATTTCTGAGATATTGTTTTTTATCCAATATCATTAGAATGGAGGTATGGATTGTTTTGCTAAATTGTATAATGAAGATAAAAAACAGTGAAAAATGAAAACTTCAGTATCTTCTCTTTTCTTCAAATTCCAAATATCTAAGAAACTGACTGAAATATGTTTAAAGAAATTTGATAATTAGCTGCTTTTGCAATAATGATGTTATTAAATACTTAGTTTATACACAATTTAAAGAACCACAGACGTCTGACTGAAAATTGGAATAGTATAAATAGATGCTATCAGTGTCCCTGATACACATAATAAGTTGAGTAAACTTTAGATTCCCTTCAATAAAAGTGACAATAAATATGTTTGTGAACAGAATTTAATCTGACAAGAGGCCAGAATAGCTTAACTTGAAATAAATTAATCTTGTCCATCTGTCAGAAATCAGGATCAGGCACGAAGGCATCAAACAATATCTTTATTTGATGTTCTCAATCAGGCTTTATTAACGAAATGATATTGATGCTACATGGCCGTCTTTGAGTACTTAAGAGTAGACTTAGGACACATCAAGTTAATGGAAATGTGAACAGCAATAATAAAAGCTGTTTCAGTTTTTCTACTAGGGTGAGCTGAAAGTTCATAGATTTACTTTGTAAGCAACAGCAGTGAAATCTAGTATAGATTTCTGATACTAACGGCATTGTTTGTTTTCAGATCAACTGATACTGATTGACATTCAAGACTTTGAAAAGTAGACCCAGTTGGATCTGCTTCAAAAAGTGACAAGTTTTCCTGCAACACGACCAGCCTGATGTGCCAAGTTAAATTTATAACAAAATGTTTCCACCCTCTAAGATACTCCTACTTCGAACTCACTGTGTAAATTTTGAATAAAAGCATTTTCCGTCCTACTAATCAACATACAGTATCACAAGTGGAATTGCATGTGGTCAAGCATATCTACTCTTTTTGATTTCCAACAGTCGAGGGATGTTTAAGATGCACAGCCTGTAGCACACAGGGGCTTGGATTATTGTCCCATCGGCACAACTAGACCAGGCCTGTTGATTTGGCTCTATATGCCAGATATGACTGACGGGCTGCTCAAATGACAGACGGTCAATATCCTCTATTAGACATCTAGTATAGGTTAGACATTACATGGCTTTCAATGTCTGTCAAATGCAAAATTTAATAACAACTTTCTAATAAAATATAAAGCCATCAATCACTGCTAGACTAGATGCATCATTGGAAATTGGGTTGAAAAATCTGAAGGTATAATCTAGACTTAAGCCAGGATTGAAACCTGGGTCTAACTCACTGAGCCACCTAATCATAGGGAGCAAGCTTGAAATGGTGTTTGGTCATTAAATTGATTTGAAATCATGAACTTTAAATAACAGATTTTATATCCTTTGAAATTAATAATCAAACTCTATTCAGATTTTCACCTCTAATCATGGAATAAACTGAGTATTTCATAAGACAAATCTGTTATTTTACAGCATATAAAAATGAAATGAATGGAGTTTTACATCCTACTTTTCTGCACCATGTGGGCTAATGAAGACAGACAACACCATGCAGAGTACAATGAGGGAAATTTTGCCAGTACAGACATTTCCAATTGTTGAAAGATCTTAAACGTGCACAGCCTGTAGCACACAGGCCTCGGTTTATTGTCCCATCTGAATGACTAGACGCTTTTTCCATGTCAGCACCTCTTACTTGCATCACTGACAGGGGAATCCATGTTGAAAAATCCGAAGGTATTCCGAACCTATGCCGGTATTGAACCCTAGACCTTTAGGTTAGCGAGCAAGCGTCTAACTCACTGAGTCACCGTGGCTCCCTTTACAGCATATAAGAAAACACTGTTACCTTATGCAAGATAATTCATAGCAATTGCCCCTTTATGTACAGTTGTATTGGTGATTGTTAGAATCACAAAAAGAGCTGAAAATCAGTTAATGAAATATACATGGCCTAATTATCCGAGATCTATAGATATAAGATAAGATCATAATAAGGCTTCTAGCATTGTAATATTAGACTAAATGAGATTTTTACTGGATAATTACGATTTTACCTTTAACTTTCAGATTTCCTTCGTTTAACACCTGCCAATTCTATTCCCTCTAATATCCTATTCTAAACCATCAGGTATTAA